CTTACATCAAACTATATATTCTTTTAACTTTTTGCTCAACTATTCTAAACTTCTATTCTGTTCCAGTTTTTTTTTCTATTTCAGCTCATTTTCTATACCAAAATAACTATCGAAAAGAAAAAAACAAAAACGAGATAAAGATATAAAGACACCATTATCTATAGTCGCCCACTTTGGAGCAGCAATACAAAATATAAAAAATAAAATCTCACAGCTTAAGTATTAAAAAAGTGCAAGCAAATAGAAGTGTTTATTGGGATACGACAAAAAGTCGGAACAAATGCGGAGAAAGAGGATGGTAGCGGTGATGATGGTAATAACGATGAAAAAGGATGGAATGTTAGCAGAATGATATGCAAAATGCATAGAGATTTTATTTACAACTTCAAGCAAAAGCTGTTTCACACACTGCAAATGTAAACAAAACACTTCATCCATTCGGCATCCTATCGATATCCTAGCATGGCAATAAGAGTATGAGAAAGATACGGCGGCGTAAGAAAATACAAGCTTAACTTTACATCAAAAACTTACTTTCAATTTCCCATACTCAACTACTTCTTGCAGTAGTTGTAGTAGTAATAGTAGTAGCATGCAGGATAATATTCTTAATTGCTAAAACTTTCTTTGCTTGATTCATACTATATAAAGCAAAAAAAAAAGAAAATGAAAAAATTTTGTGCTTCAAACGTAGTCGAGTTTGAAAAAAAAAAATTTTAAAATCAAACTAAAACACTGTCTGCGAATCGTAGATCACAGTAGAAAATGAATACTGTAAAAAATATGACAATTTAACACGTAAAAATAATATTCATACAAGCGTAATGTTGAGGATGCAAAAACAACTTGTGCTATATTTAAAATTCAAGTTAAAAAAAATGTCACTTTCATTTTACATGAATATAAAACAAACACCAAAAAATAAGGAAGGCTACAAACTATTATTCAGTATCCTTCGCTGCACTTTACAAGTTTTTTCTATCTAACATTAGCATAAGTTATGAAAAAAACTCCATTCAAAGTATCAGTGAAACAATTCAAAAGGAAGAAAAAAGCAAGAGATTTTAAAATATCATTGTAAATTTCAATATAACTTTATTATGCAAATCTAAGAAATTTGTATATTTACAAATGCTAAATCATCTTTCCTTTATGAAAATTTCTCAAGCAATCATTGCTCTTATTCAACGCCTGAAAGCAAGAGAAAATAATTTTTCAAAATGAAAATAACCTGTATGTAAGTCATCGACATGTCTTTTGCCAAGCGTTCTTTCTCTTCTCGACAAGGGTAAAGATTATCGCCATGCATTGCTAACCATGCATCAAGCATTGCTGCCTGAAAATAATACACATCTATTTTTCCACGTAAACAAATTTATTTTTTCCCTCTGTTTTGACATACGAGACTAAAGTTCAAGTGATTTACTGATAATCGACAACATGCATACGTGACACACAAAATTACCTAATATTTTCGAAAAATATTTTTTTTCCTAAATAATAAGTAACAATAGTGAAAAATAAACGTATTCCCATTTTGTTTGATATAATAACATAGGAGAGAAAATTTCTCTTCCACGTTTTCTACCACTTGTATAATGAAACAAAATACGGAGTGCATTTTGAAAAGAGAAATGAAATAAGACTGTGCTCAGTAGACTACAACAAACTGCAGCACATAATTCAATAAATAAAAGAAAAAATTAAAGCAAATTTGCACGAAATTAAGAGTATGAAAATCAATTAAATAACAACAAAAGTTACTATTAGTGTAAGAATACGATTAAATGCAAATGATAAGAGGAAGCATACATATTCTATATAATCAAATTTTACTTTGAGAAAGAATAAATTTTAATTCATGATGAAAAGATGAGCTTCTTTCTTTAATCATCACTAAATATAACAACTAAAATACATCACAAGAAATGTCGCAGTAACTGAAAGAGAGAATTTTCAAAAAAAAAAAATATCCTAACTTGAACGAAATAACATATTTATTTATAGAATGCTAGCATAATTAATAATCACATAAATTAATGAATCATCCTGAATTCCACCGCCATAAAAACGGCATACAAAGAAAACAACCTAATGATCTTCATAAGTATGGTTATGAATATTTAAGCGTATAGAAATAAATAAATCATGCCAAAAAAAAGAAAGAAAGAAAGAAATTAAAAACTTTTTTCTTTTTCATACTTCTCTCCTATCATCTATGAATTTATCTGTATTACAAACCTGTCTCAATTCACTTCATCATATTCCCGTACATACAATATAAAAGATATCAATGGAACAAAGTCATTTTGTATCTTTCGAAGTGCAATAAACTCATCCACTCATTCACCCCAGCGTATTTCATCATCAAAAAATGCCAAATTCACAGCGGACATGCTTTTCAACCAAATTTCGAAATAATATGACCAAACACATAACATTTAACACTACCCACACATGCACACAAGCACATATACATGTGTACACATATGCATATATACGTGTATACATATAAATATTGACGAGTATTTCATCATCAACACATATAACACAACAATTATATTCATACCAAAGACATAAATAATTAAAATGATAGCCATTTAAGCATGGACTTTCAGTATAACTTTATAGGAAGAAGCAACAATACTGCTTATTTCGAAAATTAATCTATAAATGATGAAATGAGAAATTTTCTACATATATCATACTATAGCAACAAGTTTGAGAAAACCATTACCTGTTGACGCTGTTTGGTTTTTTCAATTGCGGCAGCAGACGATGGAGAAGAGGATAAAATAAGTGTGGCTTCAGTGGTCGGTGACGTGGCACCACGTGGAAACACGTAACTTGCAACCATTTAGATCCAAAGTTTATGTCAACTATTTCGATTTATATTTCAACGAAACACAATTGCTGAAAAAAACTTGTATAAACATAAACTTGTAAGCCTATTTATTTCGGAAGTACAACGGCTTAGCTAAAGCAGAATCAAAAAAGAGGAATGTTGATATAGCATCTATTAAAACATCCATATGTTCACCAGTCGATTAACTTTAACATATTTCATTCAAATCATGGGACAGACAATATAATTCTTCATTATGGAAAGGGAAAGAGAAAAGCATATCAAGACTAAAACTCCGAAAGGCATTTAAATATACAAGAAACTGCTAGTTATGAAAAATAAAAAGTCGCAAAAAGGTCATTTCAGTCCTATATCATTAACTTTCTAAAGTATGAAATCTACAGATTTCACGCATACTGTTAATCCTACTAAAAATCTGTAATTTATCAATGCGATCTGAAGTTCATATTCAATGCATCGATGCATATTTCCATACCTCTCTCTCACTACACATATTAACATTTCTCACAAATACATTGAAATGAAACATCTCCAACTTTGTGATAAATACTTCATCAAAAATTAGACTGAATTTAAATCAAGAAACAGAACACTAGAGAAGCAATTATGAAAATAAAAAATTAAAAAGAAATGGCGGAAATCTTTCAATTTCTTTATTTTCTTTCCTGAAGCCATCAGCAGATTGCTTCTGCATTAATTCTATGCAGCACTTACTTCAAAAGCATCAGGAAATTGCCTCTGCCGTAAGTGATATATATATGATTAATGACCAAGCAATGAAATAAAACCAAGTAGAAAATCCGGAAAAGCACATATTAAATAAAAAAATGCACAAAAAATTCTACATAATGGCGCTATGGAAAAATTAAAAATTTTGAAGAAAATTTAACTTTGTTCATAATGATAATAATGATGATAGCAACAATAATGATTACAATAAATA